AGTAAGAATTAACAAGTGTGCATGTAAAAAACCCTTGTTGGGTTTAGAACTAGCAAGATAGAAGCTAGAACTGGCTGTATACAAGCTAGAACTAGGGTAATAGAAGCTAGAACTAACGTAAAAGCAAGAATTAGCTAGAACTAGGGTAATAGAAGCTAGAACTAACGTAAAAGCAAGAATTAACAAGTGTGTATGTAAAAAATCATTGTTGGGTTTAGAACTAGTAAGATAGAAGCTAGAACTGGCTGTATACAAGCTAGAACTAGGGCAAAAGAAGCTAGAACTAGGGTAGAAGCAAGAATTAACAAGTGTGCATGTAAAAAACCCTTGTTGGGTTTAGAACTAGAAAAATAGAAGCTAGAACTGGCTGTATATAAGCTAGAACTAGGGTAATAGAAACTAGAACTAGGGTAGAAGTAAGAATTAATAAGTGTGTATCTAAAAAACACTTGTTGGGTTTAGAACTAGCAAGATAGAAGCTAGAACTGGCTGTATACAAGCTAGAACTAGGGTAATAGAAGCTAGAACTAACGTAGAAGCAAGAATTAACAAGTGTGCATGTAAAAAAACCCTTATTGGGTTTAGAACTAGCAAGATAGAAGCTAGAACTAGCTGTATACAAACTAGAACTAGGGTAATAGAAGCTAGAACTAACGTAGAAGTAAGAATTAATAAGTGTGCATGTAAAAAACCCTTGTTGGGTTTAGAACTAGCAAGATAGAAGCTAGAATTAAATGTATACAAGCTAGAACTAAGGCAAAAGAAGCTAGAACTAGGGTAGAAGCAAGAATTAACAAGTGTGCATATAAAAAACCTTTGTTGGGTTTAGAACTAGTAATATAGAAGTTAGAACTGACTGTATACAAGCTAGAACTAGGGTAATAGAAGCTAGAACTAGGGTAGAAACAAGAATTAATAAGTGTGCATGTAAAAAACCCTTGTTGGGTTTAGAACTAGCAAGATAGTAGCTAGAACTGGCTATATACAAGCTAGAACTAGGGCAATAGAAGATAGAACTAATGTAGAAACAACAATTAACAAGTGTGCACGTAAAAAACCCTTGTTGGGTTTAGAACTAGCAAGATAGAAGCTAGAACTGGCTGTATACAAGCTAGAACTAGGGTAAGAGAAGCTAGAACTAACGTAGAAGCAAGAATTAACAAGTTCGCATGTAAAAAATCCTTGTAGGGTTTAGAACTAGCAAGATAGAAGCTAGAACTGACTGTATACAAGCTAGAACTGGGACAATAGAAGCTAGAACTAGGGTAGAAGCAAGAATTAACAAGTGTGCATATAAAAAACCCTTGTTGGGTTTAGAACTAGCGAGATAGAAGGTAGAACTGGCTGTATACAAACTAGAACTAGGGCAATATAAGCTAGAACTAGGGTAGAAACAAGAATTAACAAGTGTGCATGTAAAAAACTCTTGTTGGGTTTAGAACTAGCAAGATAGAAGCTAGAACTAGCTGTATACAAGCTAGAACTAGGGCAATAGAAGCTAGAACTAGGGTAGAAGCAAGAATTAACAAGTGTGCATGTAAAAAACCCTTGTTGGATTTAGAACTAGCAAGATAGAAGCTAGAACTGGCTGTATACAAGCTAGAACTAGGGTAATAGAAGCTAGAACTAATGTAGAAGTAAGAATTAACAAGTGTGTATGTAAAAAACCCTTGTTGGGTTTAGAACTAGCAAGATAGAAGTTAGAACTAGCTGTATATAAGCTAGAACTAGGGCAATAAAAGCTAGAACTAGGGTAGAAGCAAGAATTAATAAGTGTGCATGTAAAAAACCATTGTTGGGTTTAGAACTAGCAAGATAGAAGCTAGAACTGGCTGTATACAAGCTAGAACTATGGTAATAGAAGCTAGAACTAACGTAAAAGCAAGAATTAATAAGTGTGCATGTAAAAAACTATTGTTGGGTTTAGAACTAGCAAGATAGAAGCTAGAACTGACTGTATAGAAGCTAGAACTAGGGCAATAGAAGGTAGAACTAGGATAGAAGCAAGAATTAACAAGTGTGCATGTAAAAAACCCTTGTTTGGTTTAGAACTAGCAAGATAGAAGCTAGAACTGGCTGTATACAAGTTAGAACTAGGGTAATAGAAGCTAGAACTGACGTAGAAGCAAGAATTAACCTAGCTTCTATTACCCTAGTTAATTCTTGCTTCTACGGTAGTTCTAACTTCTATTACCCCAGTTCTAGCTTGTATACAGCCAGTTCTAGCTTCTATCTTGCTAGTTCTAAACCCAACAAGGGTTTTTTGCATGCACACTTGTTAATTCTTGCTTCTACGTTAGTTCTAGCTTCTATTACCCTTGTTCTAGCTTGTATACAGCCAGTTCTAGCTCCTATCTTCCTAGTTCTAAACCCAACAAGGGTTTTTTACATGCACACTTGTTAATTCTTACTTTTACATTAGTTCTAGCTTCTATTACCCTAGCTCTAGCTTGTATACAGCCAGTTCTAGCTTCTACCTTGTTAGTTCTAAACCCAACAAGGGTTTTTTACATGCACACTTGTTAATTCTTGCTTCTAACCTAGTTCTAGCTTCTATTGCCCTAGTTCTAACTTGTATACAGCCAGTTCTAGCTTCTATCTTGCTAGTTCTAAACCTAACAAGGGTTTTTTACATGCACACTTGTTAATTCTTGCTTCTACGTTAGTTCTAGCTTCTATTACCCTAGTTCTAGCTTGTATACAGTCAGTTCTAGCTTCTATCTTGCTAGTTCTAAACCCAACAAGGGTTTTTTACATGCACACTTGTTAATTCTTGCTTCTACGTTAGTTCTAGCTTCTATTACCCTAGTTCTAGCTTGTACACAGCCAGTTCTAGCTTCTATCTTGCTAGTTCTAAACCCAACAAGTGTTTTTTACATGCACACTTGTTAATTCTTGCTTCTACGTTAGTTCTAGCTTCTATTACCTTAGTTTTAGCTTGTATACAGCCAGTTCTAGCTTCTATCTTGCTAGTTCTAAACCCAACTAGGGTTTTTTACATGCACACTTGTTAATTCTTGCTTCTATGTTAGTTCTAGCTTCTATTACCCTAGTTCTAGCTTGTATACAGCCAGTTCTAGCTTCTATCTTGCTAGTTCTAAACCCAACAAGTGTTTTTTACATGCACACTTGTTAATTCTTGCTTCTACGTTAGTTCTAGTTTCTATTACCCTAGTTCTAGCTTGTATACATCCAGTTCTAGCTTCTATCTTGCTAGTTCTAAACCTAACAAGGGTTTTTTATATGCACACTTGTTAATTCTTGCTTCTACGTTAGTTCTAGCTTCTATTACCCTAGTTCTAGCTTGTATACAGCCAGTTCTAGACCACATCTATGTTAGTTCTAGCTAGTTCTAGCTCTAATTCATCTTACTTCTAAGCTCTTGGGAACTGAGAAAAGCTCCTCCCACCTCCGACGGAGCCCACCGAGACCTCCCGACGACCCCGGTAACCTCCTCCCACCTCTGGCAAGCCCGGACAGCGGCGAAAATCTCTGAACAGCGAAGAACAAACCCGAATGGCGAGAAATTGCACTGTAGAAAACTATAGTTTTGTGCCGACTTCGCACGTACTTTCTGATCTCCTCCAATCTCCGTTTCTACCGATTTCTTCTTTGGTGAGTAGCCCTACATGTTGCCTATCACCTCCAATTTGTATCACGCTCTAATTCATTCTCTATCTCTCTCGGTAACGTCCGAAATATTGCTCGACGGCAGCAGCGAGCAGAAAACAGCAGCGCCGTGCCGACTTCGCGCGTATTTTACGGCCACCTCCGGTCTCCGTTTTCACTACCGTCTTCGCTGGTGTGTAGCCCTTTATATTGTCTATCACACGGTACCTTCCTTTCATTTGGGTTTATTTTCTATCTCTCGTTATATTGCTTCGAATATCGTTCGATGGCACCGTGGTAATTTCATTCATAAAGATACATTAATACACCTTTTCGTTCTTTCTTAATTACGACATTTCTCTTCATTCCTCTTATACTCTACTTCTCCTTACCTTTATTTTTTATTTTTTTATTTTTTTCCTTTTCTTCTTCTAGCTAATAGATTAATGCTCTGTGCGTCTCGACCTGGAAACTAAAAAAGCATCCACAATAGAATCGATCACAATTTGCAAATACAGAAGCTCATAAGGATAAATCCACAGTCATGTGAGAAATTAAAAACGTAGATATATTATCAACATGAACCCTCAATTGATCAAAGTCATCTCAAATAAAAAAAGAAAAGAAAAAGTAATGTCCAAATCTCAACGGGTCACAACAACATCATCATTTACGGTAAATATCAATCTCAAAAACCAACCTACTCGTAGCATCATCTTCTTAAATCCATCAAAGCATAAAACACCATCTCCATTAACATCATACATTCGGATCATCTCCCTGCACTCCTCAACAGTCTTCAATTGCCCGATCTTTTCGAGTGTTTTCCTCAAGCTATGCGGCGACGATCTACGGCGGGGAGCGGTGGCGATCTACGGTGACGAGGACGGGCAGAGGAGGGGAGGGGAGGCGGCGGCGAACTCGATGGGAGTCTTGGGGGCCTGAGAGGAGGCGGCGATGACGACGACGAGGAGGGCGAGTGCCAGGACGACGAGCTTGAGAAAGCTCTTAGTTTTGGAGAGAGGTGAGAGAGAGAGAGAGGAGTTGAGAGAGAGAGATGAGATGAGTGTTGGGTCAGAGAGATCGAGGAGAGAGGATACGGATAATTTGGGGATTTTAGCTTAGCTAACATGTAATAATTGATAAAAAGGGGCTGCAGTATAAAGTGTCACACTTCAAGGGGCTGATCCACATGTGGAAAACTATGAGAGGCCTCGTCACATAAAGTTTCTGCTTTTGGAGCCTGAACACATTTTTCCCATAAAAAAATCACATATCCAATTATGCGGTAAATATGGTAATTTGGTAATCAATTAGCTATTTTATTGGTAATAGTATGAACAGTATATATAAAGGATACGTAGATGTTAAAGTATTCAGTATAATATTAACCTCCTGTACTCTCACTCTTCCGCTTTGCTCCTCCTTGCTCTCGTCTCGTTTAACGAAAGGGCAAACGAAACCCCACCCAAATCGCTTCGTTTCTCGCCAAATCCTAGGGTTTGTCCGATCTCCTCTCATGGCCTCTGCTCCCAACTCCGGGGTTCCCAAGGTCAGTTCTCTAATCCAAACCCTAATTCTGACCCTAGCGAACATCGACGATTCAATTTCCTCGATCCCTTGTTGCATTTCTTAGGTTTAATTAGGAGATTTAGAAAGGGCTGTCGGTGCTTTGCTTGTTTTAGAGTTGGGATCTTTGGAATGCGACGTATTATCCTTTAATTTGTTTCGTATGGTGAGAAATGTTGTATCTTTCATCCTATTTTATTGTGGTATCAGGATGTTTTGATGGGTAATAATTCTTCAGTCTCGTGTTGAGGAGTTGTTTTCTTGTTTAAATGATGTGGCTAATATCAAAGTTGTGGCATTAGAAGTTTAGCTCGAGGTAAAGACGAGTCGTGTTTGTAGCATATATAACACATTTTACAACTTATTCTGAATCTTAGGGATGACTTGCACTGGAAATTGGTAGCAAAAACTCCTGCTGCTTTATTAAATACAAGATGAAGGGCTTGTTGAGCCTCTTAAGTTGCGCAATCCTCACTTGAGGAAAAACAGGGAGAATGTAGCTTTCTTATTCAAATAATTTGCAAGTTATCTTGTTTTCATTGGACCTAAGTTACCTTGTCAAGTTACAGAATGCAAGTCCCGTAAATAGTGGGGTAGAAGTTGCTCGAACAATTACTTATTGAACATTCATGTAGTTTATATGTACTCTAACCTCCAAAATTTTGCACTTTTTTTTTTGAGAGAACAAAATTTTGCACTTGCATTATCATGTTGTATTTGTTTGCTCACTAGATTTTTCCCTTTACATTATACAGTTTGTTTATCTCTGCAACAGGTTCTACAAGAATCAGAAGAACCACAAAGCACTGCTGATATGACTGCATTTGTGAGTTTCATTACTGGCAAAAATTGGTATTCCTCATGTTAAAAAACCATGCATATACTTTGTTATTTTTCTTAATTTAATGAATACATGATGAGTTTGGCGTCTGTCATTGGAAGATGACCAGCTAAGAACCAGCCATAGAAATGTTTTACTATTAAAGTTTGAGTGACTTCTCTCACCTGAAGAAAACGCTCAAATATGCTATGATTTTAATATGTTATGGCTTTGTATAACGTTTCCTTCTGTATTGCTCCCATTAGCATATAGTTTTATGCTGGCCCCAAAGTTTAAATACAGATTTTCCTGTTACTCTTGTAGTTGTAGCGTATTACTTCATCTTGCGAAATTATATAATTCTCTCCGTATATCTTTTCTTTTCTTTTCTTTTCAGGTTCAGAATCTCCTACTGCAGATGGTGAGTCCATGTTTCTATTTGTAAGGACTTCCAATTAGAAATAAAGTACAGCTGGCACATCTTTGGTACTGAAAACTATTGTTATGTTTGCAGCAATCCAGGTTCCAGGCAATGTCTGAGAGCATTGTTTCGAAGAATATCCTTTCCACACTTCCATCTGTTTTTCCTTCAGTGCTGTCATTCCCCTAATTATTTTAGCAGAATGTTTTCTCTTGTTTTATTTTAATTGAATTAAAAGCTTATACTATTACTGAAATCTCTTGGGCTTATATAGAGCCCTACGAAACACACTTACAATTAACCCCCTACACATACTAATATCTCAACACTCCTTCTCAAGATGGGCGAAAGATATCCACTAAGCCCATCTTGTCACGTCCTCTAACCATATCTACAAAGCTAAGTTCCTTAGTCAGACAGTCTGTTGCCTGATCCTTAGTTGAAACATGGCCTAATTCCAATAGTTCACTGTCCAACTTCTCTTTGATGAAGAACCTATTGATCTCGATGTGTTTGGTTCTATCATGCTGCACTGGGTTGTTGGCGATACTGATGGCTGACTTGTTATCACACCATAATTTCATCTTGGCTCATTGATCTAACTTCAGCTCCACCAGCATACTCTTCAGCCACAACAACTCCGCAACTCCCTAGGCCATAGCTCTATATTCTGCCTCAACTGTCGATCTCGCCACCACCGACTGCTTCTTACTCTTCCATGACACCAATTTGCCTCTTATAAAGATGTAGTATTCTGAGATGGACCTCTTATCATCAGCACAGCTAGTCCAATTAGAATCACAGTAACCCTCAATGCTCACATGGTCATTCTTCCTGAATATCAACCATTTTCTGGGGGCACTCTTTAAATACTTCAGAATCTGGTACACTGCGTCCATATGACCCTTCATCGGATCATGCATGTAGCGGCTCACCACGCTCACTACAAAAGAGATCGGGACGCGTGTTACTCAAATAAATTAACCTATCCACCAACCTATGGTATCTGTCACGATCAACTGGTTCTCCAGCCTCAGCACCCAGCTTGAACCTCCGGTCGATCAGTGTAGTTACAGGTTTGCACCCCAACATCTCTGTCTCTTTGAGAAGATCCAGTGCATACTTCTTTTGGGAGAGGACAATCCCCTCCTCTCCTCGAGCTATCTCTATCCCAAGAAAGTATCAAAGCAAGCCAAGATCTTTCACCTCGAACTCCTTACCCAGTCTCACTTTGAGTTGAGCAATCTCTTTTTCATCATCCCCTGTAATAATTATATCATTCACATATACCGCAAGCATGGTAATGTGGCATCCACTCCGTCGAAAGAACACGGTATGATCAGCGTTGATTTGTTGGTACCCCGTACCTATCATAACCCTCCTGAATCTGTCGAACCAAGCACGAGGAGATTGTTTTAGCCCATAAAGAGACTTCTTCAATCTGCAGACATTGTCCACTGTCTAATCTGTACCGAATCTTGGTGGTATCTTCATGTATACCTTCTCCACTAGATCTCCATGAAGAAATGCATTCTTCACATCTAGTTGGTGTAGCTTCCATCCAACATTTACTGTCAGAAAGATCGAAGTTCGAACCGTGCTCATCTTCGTCACCGGTGTAAAAGTCTCATCATAGTCGATATCATATGTCTGACTGTACCCTTTTGTCACCAGACGAGCCTTGTAGCGCTCAACCTGTCCATCTAGATTCTGCTTCACAGTGAAGACCCACTTGCATCTAACTGTTCTTTTCCCTTCTGGTAGTTTTACTAACTCCCAAGTGCGGTTCTTCTCAAGAGCCCCTAGCTACTCGTGCATAGCCGCTTTTCACTTTGGGTCCTTAGCAACCTGCCAATTGTTAGGTACAGTAACAGAGTCTAATGATGCAATGAATGCTCCATGTACAGTAGAGATGTTAGAATATGATACAAACTGGGCAAGATCCTAACCATATCTATCGGGAGGATTTTTCGCATTGCTGTGAGTAGTCCTCCGTACTGATATTGGTGTGGGGGGAGTAAGGAGAGGAATGATATCACTTTGGGAGGAATCTGGTGGTGGTGTAGGTGTCTTAGGAGTCGGGGCAGGCGTTGGCAAGGGACTTGGCACCAGTGGTACTATAGTGTTGTTGGCACTGTAGGTACTGTAGGTACTGTTGGTACTGTTCCCGTAATTTGTTTCTCCTTTCTACTATAGGTAAGTAGCTCCCCCTGATTCGTGGGCCTCACATCTCTCGTCTCCTCCTTTTCTTCTTCACTCTCCTGCTCCTCCTCAGCCAATTCTCCCTACCAAGGAATCGATACAGAAATTGATTCCACATTATTCCATGAACTCTCACCAATCTCCCTCTCTCGTCTCATACTCCTAGTATCGGGCGAGTCGCTAAATGGTGAAGTTACCTCCAGGGTGTAATATGGTCCGAACTCTCGAAAGTGCACATCCATGCTCACAAATAACTTCTTCTCCACTGGACTCCAGCAAACATACCCCTTCTGTGTCGCAGAATAGCCCACAAATATACACTTCACTACTCTAGGATCAAGCTTCCCAACAGATGGTCTGTTGTACTTCACAAAGCACACACAGCCAAACACCTTTAGTGGAAGAATCCCACCATTATCTCCCTTCAATATCTTACACGGAGACTTCCACTCCAGCACTTTTGAGGGCATCATGTTGATCAATCGAGTTGCGGTCAACACTGCTTGCCCCCACAGAGTCTTTGGGACATTCATGACGATCATCATGCTTCTGGTCACCTCTAGAAGGTGTCTGTTCTTCCTTTCTAATACTTCATTCTGTGCTGGTGTGTATGTACATGTGGTCTGATGTTATATTCCCTGAGCTGAGAAGTATTCCCCAAGTGTTCTGTTGGTATACTCTGTCCCATTATCAGACCTCAATACTTTCACCACTGCTCCATATTGAGTCTGAACATACATATGAAAGTCTTGAAAGCAACCAAACACTTCACTCTTATTTTTCATCAAGTATAACCAAGTAACGCGAGGGAAGCAATCAATAAAGGTAACAAAATACTTGTATCCATTCATAGAACTTGTGGAACAAAACCTCCAAACATCAGAATGTATCAGGTCAAATGCACGAGAACTCCTATGACCAGAACTAACATAAGAGCTTCTAGTAAGCTTTCCAAACTCACATGCATCGCACACAAATTTCTGTTTATTTGTTTTCTTAAATAAAGATGGATACAACCTACTTAAACACTAAAGGATGAGTGTCCCAAGTCTGGTGATGAAGCATCAACACACTCTCAGCACTCATCTCAGGTCCTACTCATGCTCTCTCTACCATAGACACCAACGCTGAGTCCAGCCCTTCACGATCCAGGTACTACAGTCCACTACTCCACATGTCAGTCCCAAGTCTCTGTCCTGTCCCCTTCTCCTGAAAGATCATCTTGAAAATGTCAAAAGAAACAATATATTTTAGTTGGAGTATGATGGCACTAATAGACAAAAGATTTACTAGAAAGGAAGGAGCATGCAAAGTATTAGATAAAATTACAGAACCTGTACAATTAACTATACATTTACCAACCATATGCTGAAATATACCATCAGTAGTATGGATGTTGTTAGCCGATGCTAGTTGAGTGTATGATGAGAACTCACTAGCATTCCCTATTACATGTCCAGATACACCAGAATCGACTATCCATTCTGATAACCTAGTGGGAGATATAGAAGCAAGAGCATGTATGTCATCAGTATCTTTGGTCAGATGAGCGTAAGTAGCAGTGTTGCCTCTGGGAAAGAACGAAGTGGATGCTTCCTCAGTTCCATTCTTCTTGTCTCCATCACCTGCTGCTCTTTGCTTCCTCCTCAGTACCTCCAAGAGCGTCTGATCCTCCTCAGTGAAGACCACATCAGCTTCTTCCTCTCCCTCTGCTACCATCAGATTTGCTCGGTTGCCTTCTCTTCCACCTCGTCGACCGTCACGACCACGACCACGACCACGACCTCCGAACTATCCACGTCCACCCGAATTTTCCTCCTTGGGTGGCTTAGGACAAGTGTGTCTCAGATGACCTACATTACCACAGTTGTAGCACTGTCGAGTCTCCCCCTTGAATCTAGTGTTACCTAAGTTGGAGACTGCCAGTGATGATCTCACCCCTGGAAGTTCACCTGTCCCAGTCTGTAGCTTAATGCAACTATCCTCCTGTATCATAGCTGAGACTGCCTTTTCAAGTGTGGGAATCTTCGACTGAGCTAGCAGCATCGCGGTCCTCTGATCAAATGCTGAGACTAGCCCCTAGAGAAACACCATAGTCCTTTCCTGCAGAAAGGCCTCTCTCTTTACACTCCGGATCCTTGCAGCTTGCTCGAGGTGAGAAGTGATCATGATCCAGCCACAAACGCTCCGGCTCTGTGGCATACTCCTGTATTGTCCTATCTCCTTGGACTGTAGCATTAATCTCCCTCTTAATCTGAAACACCCTCAGGTTATTCCCCACCCCCATCATAGGTTATCCTCAGCTTCTCCCAGACGTCCTTCACATTCCCAATGTCGTCCACTGTGACGGCAATCGACTGGACCAATGAGTTGAGAAGTCAGATTTACACCAACATATGAGTGGACTTCCACTCATCTCTTCTCGCGGTGCCCTCATCCGGCTCTGCCTTTTCACCTATCAAGTACTCCTCCAGATTTCTCCCTGCGAGAGTGTACCTCACCCGTCCATCGAGTTTCAGATCAATGGGTGAGAGCTCCAATTTTGCTTGTGGCCTTGTCTCGCTCTCACGCCGATAACTTCATCAACTGCATCAAAGTTGAGATCTCCGCGGGGTTCAACTTCTTGATGATGTCTCGCTCTCACCAGCCGATAACTTCATCAACTGCATCAAAGTTGAGATCTCCGCGGGGTTCAACTTCTTGATGATCTCCTCCATCGATCAGGCTTTAGATCAAACACCCGTTCTCCTTCTTCTCTTCGAACTCTTGTTGTGCACAGTGAAAATTTCGGCAGCACTTCTGCTGCACAACAAGAGTAAGATCTTAACTAAATCTCTGTTTCTCAAAGGAAACAAGAATCGAAAGTGATATATCTCAACAACGTGGAATATACACTCTTCCTCTCATCAGTTCTAGGACTGATTTGTCAAGGGAATCTAACAAGCTACACACCCAGATCTGGATCTTCCACATCACGACAAGATCCTCCTCTCTGACAAAATCAGCAGTGGGAACCACGGCGACGGCTCAGCAGCAGCGGCACAGCGCTCGGCCAACAACGAAGCCCGCGGCGGTGTGGGCTGTGAGGGCAGCGCAGCGGGTGCGGAAGGCCATGGGAGCACGAGTAAGAAAAGGGGGTTTGGTGGCGGCGCGTAGGGTTATGGTTAGGATTAGGAAGAGGAAGGTGACGGATAGGGTTTTGCTCTGATACCAAATTGAATTAAAAGCTTATACTATTACTGAAATCCATTGGGCTTATATAGAGCCCTACTAAACACACTTACAATTAACCCCCTACACATACTAATATCTCAACAATTTTCCAAATATCTTTTAAGAGATTCCTTTTTCATTTCATATGTAGGTTCACTTTTTATTCACGCTTTGTTTTGGTGATTAGATGATTTTGTGTTTTATCTTCTTCCCTGTCTCTTGCGGTGTTTTCGCTATTAGATTTCCCACCATTTGTTCCGGAATTGGGTTAATACGCATGCAGGAAGTCAATAGTATTTCGGGAGTTAGGTTTTTCACATCCACATTTTCTATGTGAACATCAATTTTCATATGAGGATTTCAAACATTGGGGTTTGTAAGTAAATCTGTAACACTTATCTACCAAAACTTGTTTCCTCCCCCTTGCCTATGTTTTCTAATGTAAATTCAAACATTTCAAATCGTCTTGGTTTTGTATCTTTGTGCCTCATGGACTTCATTTTTAGTGCATACCTTTAACTGCGATCCACTAGATGAAATGGGAAGCAGGGTTGATGAACTGGAACAGAGCATCAATGACCTCAAAGCCGAGATGGGAGCAGAAACTACCCCACTCAAGGAAAGGCCAGAGGAAACCAAGCCCAATTCTTCTGAATGAGTCCATCTTTGTGAAATGCCGTAGAGAAGTGGCATTTTGCTCCCTAATTCTGCTTATATGTGTATCCTTCAATTTACCATATTCATATGATGGTTTAGATTGTCGAGCTTCTAAAACATGATTATTGTAGAGGGCTGTTTGTATAATTTCTACTGTTATTCTCCTTTCTTTTTTTCCTTCGTTGTTATCTGAAGTACTTTGCATGAACAAATCTAAAACTCTTAACAACGAAGGAAAAAAAGATTGTCAAGCTTTTTGAATATATATGACAATCTAAAATTATTGTAGAGGGCTGAAAATTATATCTGCATTTTATAAACTGGATACGGCATGAATTTCATTTTTGCCTGTTACTTCTCCTTGGAGCCTAAATTTTGATTATCATTCAATTTAATCTTCATGGTTGCATTGTTTATGATCGCTGAAGAGTAAAAAATTAGAAGGCTTATAACAGGTATATGATCATCGTTCTCATGTCTGATAAACTGTCGAATGTTGGGGATTTTGGTGAATTTTGGTATAGAATTCATCGGCAAATTTTGTGTAGTTCTGCTTGCTTTGTACCCCAAAAAAAAATGGATCAACTTTGGTTTGAGAAGGTTTCTCCTTTTCATCTGCCAAAGCTTTGATAGAAATGTTTTTGATAATATTATATTTATCCTTTCCAAAGTTTACTGTAAAATACATATATCCCTGTTAGTTTATTGTTCTACGCTTTTCCTTCCTAAACTACTGTGCACCCCGTGCATCGCATGGCCCTCTATTTTTTTATCTGTGCATTTTGAACTTGTCTCGCTCTAAGTTTTAATTCATTTGATTTAATTATTGTATGCTTCAAATTAAAAATCATATGTACTCCTCTATACTTAATGTCCTCTATACTTAATGAAGGATTCAAGTTTTAATACATTTGATTTGTTTTACTATTTATGATATAGTAAATACTGTAGTATAAACAGTAACTTTAAGTATCGAGGAGCGAATTTGACTTTATTTTACAGTAAATTAGTGTAGTATGAACAGTAATTTCGAGGCCGGATTTGATTTGATGTTCATACTAAAGTATTTACTGTAGTATAGACACTATGATTTTTTTTTCCAGTAGTTTGGCCTTCTACCATTGCACGCCTACTTTTATTGCAAAACTAATTCTATACTTCTCCAAATTTTCTATCCG